GCCGCCTCAGGTGCGCTCGGCGCGGCCGCCTCAGGTGCGCTCGGCGCCGCCGGGGCCCGGCCCGCCGGAGGGGGCAGCGAGGCCCCGCATTAAGTCACAGAGGATGTGTCGGGGGCTACGATTTGATTTGGGGGGGAGAATCTAAAAATTATGTAGCTTTTAAATGTAAGATATAGGTGTCCATCGCATCATTTTGTCATGGAGGAAATACTAATGCAGTTTACTTACCCTCACCACTTGAGCAGCACGCTGAATCCTAATGGCATCAAACTGGTACTCGCCTGTTGCTGTTCCGATAACATACCAGCCTCAACAATCTCCCACTTGCTGTCTGCTAAGTTCCATAAAGCAACAGACCACGGCTGAACTAATAAAACCTTCCAGTAAAGTCCTGTTATTGTGCGTGGCAGTAACCTGATGGAGACTGCTGAAGTCTTTGTTTTCCAGCAATAGTATTTATTACTAATTCCCGATGTGAGACAGCTGCCTCCATAGCACGACTGACTAGCGCGTTCATGCTTTTTCATATTTTGCATAATTATCTTGGTTTAGCCTGATTAATAATATCCATAATTTTGAATAGACTATTGTAATGAGGTGGAAGGAGAAGAGCTTAGTTCTCCGAGTCTCGCAGTGAATGCACATTACCTGTCTAGTTCCACCAATAGACATTCCTGCTGTAAAGGGACRTACCCCAGTGTTTTGTGTAAGATGTTAAGTATTTGTGTTTCCTGGCGCTTAGCAATTGCATTGACCTGTGTCCTTTGATCACTTTTTGTTTCACAGAGGCATGGTTCCCGAGCAGAAGGGCCTTGCGCTGGAGGCAGCGATGCTGATAAGGTTCTACTGATTTTTCCATAGCTAACCTGGCTCTGACGCTTCCAATCCACCTTCATTCTTTCCTTCTCTTTTCAGTTAACCATCACAGCCATCTTTTGCCTTCTACATGACACGAACCAGCCATCAGCTAATCTTTTTATTTCTTTCTCCCATCATTTTATTTTATTCATATACTGTGCTTTTGTTTTTCCTCATCCATGTTTTTTGTGCAGAGTTCACATGAGACTCTGGACATAGTGGAGGAGAAGAAGCAGGCAGAGGTTGGGAGAGAAGAAGGAGTAGTCATAGACGAAACCAACAAAGGGAAAATGCAAGTTGCCACTGATGCTGGGGAGACGTGTAAGGTGGAGCTGCTCTCCAAAAAGGACTCGTCGTCATTGCCGTCAGATAGTAGCAGCAGCAGTAGTAGTGAGAGTGAGGATGAAGAGGTGGGAGAATACCAGCCACATCATAGGGCAATTGAGGAAGTCATCAGGGAAGAACAAGAAGAAGAAGAAGATGCAAACAGGAAAAAAGAGCACCAGGAAAAGATAAAGCAGCCTGTAGAAGCTCCAACAGAAGGCAGTAAACTAAATGTACCAGTTGAGCACGCAGCTCAAGTTGCAGCCGAAGCTTTGGCCCAGGAAAATGCAGTTACTGTAGCCACAGAAGAGAAGAAGGTCTCAGAGGAGGTGAAGCAAGACGTAGGAGAAGAGAAGGAGGAAGAGCAGCTCAGACTGAATGGAGATGTGTCTCATGTTGACATTGATGTTGCACCACAAATAATTTGTTGTTCAGAGGTAAATGGTAGAACAGTTTGACAACTAGATTAAGCAGAGAGGTTTCTCCGGGTGACAATATACCTGGCTTTCTTCTTCTCCTATTCTTCCAGCTCTTGAGGCATTCTGCAAGACTCAGATCATTTGGAAGGGGAAACCACTGAGAGCAGAGAAATTCTGTCTCCTTCAGTTTTGGTTTCTGGCTTTTTGCTGGAACTGGATGCAAATCAGCAGTAAAGCAAACCTTCCGAAGGCTGCCATCTCCTTTTGCCCTCCCCCTTAGTTTATATGCATGTACATAATATTATATTTTTGCATGTTTTTAATGTTTTAAGTCTTGTCTTGTCCATTTGTCAATTGTTTTTGACATGTCCATGACCTGTAATTGTGAGCAGAAAAGGAWTTGGAAAATGTCAGTCACAATTTTTTTGTACCTTTTTCCCCCTATTATCTGCTGCTGCTTTTTTTTTTTCTATTTTTGAAAAATATTTATGGATTTAGGGGTTAGCATAGTGTGGTTAGGAACTGGGTAGGTATTTGAAGGGAGTGCACATGTAATTATCTTAATGTGAGGCCTTCTAGAAGGCAAGAAGGCCACCTGTGTGTGCAAGTGTGTGAAATAAAGGTAAAGGTCTAGGAGCTTTTCCTAAGTGCCTTTGAAATCAATGGGAGATAGCACGTGATGCATCCAGCAGAAGGATAAAAGGCTTTACTTGTGCTCTTTTTTTAAGTTCTTGAACATAATTGAAAGTCTCTTGCAGTACCATAAGTCACGAGTTCATTGGCTTAGGGATCCCTTGTTAATCGCTGCCGCCTTGACGTTGTGGAGAACACAACTTGCAAACCTCTAAATGGGTAAAATCTCTTTTTGAGGTCAAAAGAGGCTGTTGATATCTAGACTTACTACAGTGGATGTATCCTGCTTAAAAACTAGAAGTTAAAGTTGTCTTTCTGATCCAGAAGGTAATACCTTTAGAAAGCAGGAGTTTTATGATATTTGCCTGAATTTTTAGTCCTTATTTGCAGTTGGACTAGTTGAGATGATACTTTTCCAGGTGAAGTCTGGTGTTAAGCTTATCTACCTGAGCTAGCTGTGAATTTCTTGTTTAATGGAACATTTATCCACGCTATTTTTTTTTCTGCTTACCCCGTTTCACACATTTTAAATAACTGTGGTGCAAGTTAGTTTTAGAAATTACTTTCTTATACATTAGCTGCTAGCAACTATGGCTAAGGCTATTAGGAGGTTAGATTTCCCTTTCACAGATGGGTACAACAACTAGAAAACTGYTTTATTAGTCCTTATTTCATTTTGTTTTTTATTTTTTTGCTTCTTGATTGGGAAAATGGTTTTAAATATTTATCTTACTGCTACGCTTTTGACAGAATTTTGGTTGACTTTTCTTAGTCCATTTCATATGCCTTTTTCTTATGTTTTTTGAATTATTTCTGTCTCTTGCACCACAGCCTCCCGTAGTGAAAACAGAGATGGTAACCATTTCGGATGCTTCACAGAGAACTGAAATCTCTACTAAAGAAGTTCCAATTGTTCAAACAGAGACTAAAACCATCACATATGAATCTCCACAGGTATAATAACTTGGTTATTTGGTGCATCGTTTGGTATTTGGTTTGCTAGTGAAGTTTTATGACACCCCTTTCTTGCTCGAATTAGAGATATAATGCCGATTCCTCTTCTATTAATACAAAAGAATAGCTGGTTTAAAATTGTCTGCAAATGTAAAACCATATTTACTGTTGGAAATTTGATTTAAATCTAATTGCCCCTGAAAAGAGCACTAACTTCAATCATAAATCTTGTCCAAGAGTAGAACGTGACTGTCTACACAATTCAGTAAACTTAATGACTTCTATTCAGATTTTTGGTTTTTAACTTTTCCATTTGAACTGAAGATTTAAATGTACATTCAGTGATTTAAAAAAGTGCAGTTTTTCAAATTAAAACATTTTAAAGGCCAAAATATGAAAAAAAAACCCCATCTTTTTTTTCTTCTTGCAGTTTGATGGCAGTACGGGCGGCAATGCTGGTGTGCTGCTAAGTGCACAGACAATTACATCAGAATCAATTTCCACTACCACAACTACCCACATCACAAAGGTAAGATGGTTAATGTCTCTCTGAACTGAAAAAAAATAAACAAAAACCCTCCCAAAATGTCTAATGTAGCTCCTCAGACCTCTCTTCTGCTAAACAAAGCTGACTTAAAATGGACTGGATTCATTTTAGGCATGTGGAGTGAGTTGACTTTCCAGCAGAGAAGGCTGAATAAGGGAGAGCACCTGGGAAGAGGAAGGGAAGGGTAGAGAAATGTGAAGTGTTTCCGTACTTCATATGGGCCTGATTACAGATATTAAGTGAGGTGTTTGGACCTAGATTTTTACAGACTCATTCTGTTCTTCACTGTGTACAATCTTGGAAAACAAAATTGATCTGTTTGGGGTCCACAGGAGCCCCGTTAATGGAATCTGTCATGAGGATGGACAGACACGGCTGTATTTTCAGCCTCGGTGTTGTACCTSCTTACCCTGTTGCTTCCAACACAGATTTAAAAACAAGTCATAGTGTTAGGTGGCTTTTGCAAACAAATGTCTTTGGGGGTTGAATTAGGTCCTTTCTATCTGTCTCTTCACAGTATGTTAGAAYTACCAGGTGTTATTTTTATTCATCACTGCAAGTATTTCTAAAAATTTAAAAGATGTGCACTCACMACAGAGTTTTAATCTCATGTCTCTAAACTCTTAGCATAGTTTTCCAAGAAGATTACAGAAAGCGTTATTTGAATTAAAGAAAAAGGGARGAGGAAAAATGTAAGGTAAAAGTTTGRGGTATTTTTCCTGCCAAGATAAGAAGCTTCATATCACCACAGAATGGAACAGTAACTCACTGCATCAGTGGATTAGTTTTGCAAACAAATAATCTAAAGAGAAATTTGCATTTGCAGAAGAACCTTGGAGAGATGGTATTGGAAAATTATGAGATGAAAGTCACCCAACAGAAATTGAACTTAAAATACGATGTTTTAATAGACGGATTAATTGGCAGTTCCTCTTTTTGCATTCATTACCCACCAGCATCTTTATTGAATAAAATATGCCTTAACCATTCAAAATTTAGAAGTGGAATTTTCTTGTTAAGTGAGGATGGGAAAAAATGTTTCATTTAGGAAGCAACTGTTTAAAAATATTTCAGTCATTTCAAAAAGGACTTGGAAGGTCATAATGTAGCAGTTCATCTTTGCTTGAGGACTGCTGGTCACTGATTCAAAAGGCTTTATAAGCTTTCACTATTGATATAGGAACTTGAAAAAATTGAAATGCTATTTTTCTAGTGATGTTCTTGAAAGAATCATCTTGAAACTTTTCTAATACAGTCAGTGCTTTAAGAACTACTTTATTCTTTTCTGTCATGCAGGACTATTTAAAAAAGCATAGGGTTTGATTTCTTTCCAGAATATTTCTCTAAGCAAACCATTTTCAATCGTTAGAGTGAGATAGGAAGAAACAAAGCACAATTTTTTCCATCTGAGATGTGAAATATGTTGACAACATGACACTAGGGCGCATGAACTCAGAACTGAAAAAGAGAACATCTTGGAATATGATGGTTTGGGGTTACCTAGAGACTGAGAAGAGTCCCTTGCTAGAAGGGTGAAAACCAAAGAAGAATCCTGCAGTTGTCTCCTGCCAGACTTATTTGATGAAGGAGATTGGACCTCCCATTTGTATTTGCTTCTGGATGTGTTCAAACTTCGGTTTAAAAACACAGAAGCAATCCTCCTTGCTTGATGTGTTTTCTTTTTTTTTTTTCCAAGTTTTTCTTATCACTACAATGTATGTAACTGAGGGGAGGAAAAAAAAAAAAAAGGATGGCTTAACTTAAAACCAAAAATGTTTACTGCTAGTCCTCTTCCTCATTATATGGAATAACTCTAAAGATGTTTTCTTGTTTTTGTGCCATCTGTAGATGGTAAAAGGTGGGGTATCAGAAACAAGAATTGAGAAGCGCATTGTCATTACTGGAGATGCAGATATTGACCATGATGAGGTGAGTATGCGAGCTGTTAACAGCTACAGTGTGCTGCTAACAGTCCAGTGATTTAGAAGTTCTTTCAAAGATAAAAAGCAGGAAGAAGCTAAAGAAGCTGAAGATCAGAATATGAAGAATCAGATAGATGCTAAGATAGCCGATTGCAGCAAAGTTGTTTCTAATTGTGTTTTGTGAATGAGGACTCTTCGGCGTATAACYGAGGAAAGAACATTTGCAGCTTTGCATTGCAGATCACATGAGTGGATTTCCTTCGCCCTTTAAAGTGGTTACATGTTCTGGAATCGTACTGCCTAGTACTTTTTTTCTCCATTTGGCAGGAAGAGCGTTACTACAGTCTTGAAACATCAATCTAGATGGGCAGGAGTCTCTCGTGTTTTGTGTCAGCAGCATTTAAATGCAAAATTCACTTTGAATGAAACTCTTGAAATATATTAAGGCATCAACTACTGGAGTTCAAAAATAATAGTGTTTCCTCTGTATGTGCAAAATTGTGTATGATGAAAGAAATGTAATTGTGGATTCATTGGAGCTTTATATAAGTATCTTTGATCCTTATCACAAAGTTGGTTGCATTTTTTTATGGTCTTAGAAGAAAGTTAATATCACTTCTGTCTGCTCAGCTAGCTGAATTTAAGAAGTACACAGACAAAACTTTGAGAAAGTGTAATTAGATATTTTTTGGAATGACAAAATTAATTGACAGTCAATGAAAAAATACATATTAAAAAGCCTACCGTCTACATAAAACTGCAGTGAATCCAACTCTAACTTTATGGTAGCTACCCAAATCAACAGGATTTAATTTAACTTTTCAGGTGTAATATAGTGAGAGCTTTCAGTAGATCTCATTTCAGATTTTGATGCGCCTCTGGAAATTGTCTCATGACAAACTCAATCTTTTTGAAGCTTGTAATTAAATGACAGAGCTGGCTCGCATTAGGCTCGGCTTTTGTCTGCCTTGACACACCTTTAACGTACTTAGGATGTTTGAAAAGGTCAGACAATACTTAGTACTTAATTTGAGTTTCAGAATACAAATGATTCATACACTTCCTGTGATACAGGGATGAAGGACTTTAATCAAACCACAAATGATGAAGAAATATTCAGAACAGCCGTTCTTAAATCTGAAGCGCCAATTCTTTTAAATTTCACTTGTCCTGCATAGAATGCATTTAGTGTATCTCACAAACTAATAAAAAAGATTACAGTTAATACAAGAGCAAACATTGATATTGTTCCAGTGCATTATATATTCTTCTGTACATGTTTTCCTAATGTCTTCAAATTCCTTGTCTGATAATCATTAAGGTGGCAAATGTTGATGTTCTCCCAATTTTCTACCAAAGTTCTACCACCTATGGCTCAGGAACTTTTCACATTTTTAAACTAACATCCATCTACTTGTTGCATCATATTTTTCTTCCTGGTTCTAGTATATATTGCCTAGCTGTAATACATATTGCCTAGCTTGAGACTAGGCTGACTGTGAGTTTGTTGTTGCCATGCAGTACCTTTGCCAGCTCCTTTCAGCGTCTTCTGATGTCTTTTGTTGTTCCATCAGAAATGCACCTGGCCAAAATAAGTCTCAGAGGAAGGAACGGGAGCTCTTGTGTGTGCTCTGCCTCAGAGGTGCACTTCTGTGGTTGGCTATGAAGCCTGAGGTGCATTGACACACCTCTTAAGAAAATAAAATTTCTTAAAACGTGGAGAAAGGATTAAAAAAGAAACTGGCCACCTATGTTTATACTTCCCTCAGTTAAGCTAGAGAAGTTTGTCTTAAACTAGTAAGGGGAGGAAAAGGAGGTTCTTGTTCTGAGAAGGATATGCCTAGATCTTCTCCTGGAGTTTCAGCAAGGTATTTAGACCAGATAGCAAAGAATTTTTTATTTGGAAAGATGAGGGAAACTTTTGYTTCTGTTACTGCTTTGTCTTTATTTGCCAAATCTTTTGTAAAAGTTCTGAAACTTCATGTATAAGAGTCATTTCCCCTGAAATRAACTAAACATTTACTTTATGTCAATGATAATGGTACTTGCTGGAGWTTTCAGTAAGTCTACTAAACCTTTCTTTTAATACTGGGGAAAGAGGAGGGAAGGAAGAGGGATGCTCTTTTGTTCATTTGTTCAATGGCGGGCTTCCAGATGCAGGAATTTAGAGATCTGAGTAAGTGTTATGAAAACTTCCAGTGTAGCTCATCTGCACTCCACCAATCCCCCCGTGAATATATTTTTGCAGCCATTTAAGTCATATTTCATATATTTTTTGTAGGCCCTGGCACAGGCAATCAAAGAAGCCAAAGAACAGCACCCGGACATGTCTGTCACGAGAGTAGTGGTGCACAAAGAAACTGAACTTGCTGAGGAAGATGAAGAGTAAACTCAAAATGCCATCAAGCAAATATTTCAGGTAAACCTTCAATGTGAAATAGATTCAATAACATATACGTGTAAGTAACATAGTTTGAAAAAGTAGCATCAATTTTCTGTTCTATTCTGTGTTCTGATGGGCTTGACAAATACTGGGACTTGTTGGTGTGTGTGCTTTCACAAACTGGTGCAATGGAACGTGCACTTAAGTATAAGAACTGATCTTAAGTCCCCACTCACATAAATTTGAAATTTTCTTTCAAGTATCTCCCAGTTTTATTACAGTGCTCTCCATATGGCATTTCCTATGACGTTTGGTCAAGCCACTGTAGTTTATCAGAAGTGAATTTGGGCCGTTTCTGTAAAATACAAAGCATATGTCATGTTTCTTTTTTATACCGGTACAATTACAGAGAGGAGTTAAATGCTTTGCATATTGAAGTTTTAAAGCCTCTCTTCAGGTGAAAGAAATATATTAAAGAATGACAGTTTACTAGGCCCTCATTCAGTTGGTGTATTCTTCGATTCCAGCGTATTGGGATTTGAGGCTGGAGTTTTTCTCTGTTGGTGTATGTGCAATAAAAAGAAAAAAAAAAAAAGACTCCAGGCCTCCCCCGCGCTGCAGGGCAGAAGCGTCGCCTCCTCTCCCTGCTCGTGACAAGGCAGCCGGGGATGCTGCTGGCCACCCTCACCCCAAGGGCACATTGCTGGCCCCTGTGCAGCTGGTGCACTAGGATTCCCACGTCGTCTTCTGCARAGCTGCCGCCTCTAGCGTGTTGTGGTGCCTGGTGTTGGTCCTGCCCAGGTGCAGGACTTTGTATCTCCTATTGCACAACTTCATGAGGTCCCTCCCTGCCCGTTTCTCCAGCTTGTCAAGGGCCCCCCAAAAGGCAGGACAAGTGTCTCRTCTGTCAGTCACTCCTCTCAGGTGTTGGTGTCACCTGCAAATTGCCATTATGAAAGAATTGGAGTCTTCCTGAACTGCTAAGCAATCACAAACACCCTGGCTACCGCTAGTCATTTCAGGAGGTACCCTGAACTCCTGCAACATACAGCGTGCATAGGCTGACAGTATTGAATGCTATGGAGAAGTCCAAGAGGATCAAGGTAGGATGTCGATAACTTCAGCCCGCAGGCAGAAAGATTATCTGCCTTTACCATTAAAGTGATGCAAGTTGTTGGTATCAGAGGCCTTCTGCTAGACCTGAGATGTTGTTTCAAGCAACCTGAATTTACAAATTACTGACCTTTTCTCTCAGCTTTCTGTGAGCTTGCTCAGAAGCTGTAGTTTTTACAGGGCACTAGAGCTAAGCTTGAGCTCCCCTCTGAAAATTGCTCTAGTTGTGCGATTACTTGAAAAAGTAATTAATAAGCTTGGCTCATAATTTATATAATCCAGGAAGAAAACGGATCAGGTTTGGAAGGGGTAGGTTAACACTACCTCACCTGCTGGGTGTTAATGTTAGAAACGGTGGAAATATCAAAGGGCTCTTTTGGTGGACACGAACGATTCTGGCCTTTTTAGAGCATTTCAAAAGCTGCAGCCGCTCTGCCCGCCTTGCCCAGCTGTCAGGAGCTTAAAGCACCCTGTGGTGGGCCTGGCAGACGCTTCCTTGTGTGCGTGTGCCAGCTACATCAAAGTGCGTGGAGAAGAAAGGCTTCCTTTACCTTGAGTGGGTTGAAGAGTGATGGAGTGGGTAGGGGGTTGAGGGTTGTTTTGTGTTCTTTGGGTTTGCTTTTTATCCGAGGCTAAGGTGACCAAGTCACCAAAAATAAAGAGCTGCTCAGGATGCCCTGTATGTTGTCACTGTCATTTCTTATTTCAGCGTTCGGCTGCATTTGCTTTGTAGCTTCGTTGCTTAGTAACACTGGAAACTGTGGAAAACTCATAGCCTGTGGGCTCCAGCTTGGTTTGGAAAATACAGGAGATGACATGGAGCTACACTGAGCTGTAGGGTAGTCATGGCTGGACAAGGCCCCACATGACATAACTGCAAATATAGTTCTAGATAATGGGGTTCAGGCATTTGAATTACTCTGTGACTGTGGATTATTTGTTTCYAAGGTAATGAAAACTCTGTCCTAGCTATAGCTACAGCAGTGATCCTTGTGGAACTTTATTGTCTGTAATAAAAATGAGAAATCCTACACTTGGATGCTCAAGGATTATTGTTTGAAAGAGTTACATTTACCCATTTACTGCATTGTGGGTTAAACTTTTCAGTAAACCATGTGAGAGGCGAGCTCTTAAAACAGCAGGGGAAATTTTGAGTGGGGAATCCCTTCTCCCCTCCCCATTCCCTCCCATTTCCAAAACCCTCAAGACATTCCAAAACATTTGGAATCTGATGATGTGCAATGCACACCTTTCCTCATGGACGTGTGTACAATCTTGGCACTCGCTCCTTGTTTTCTTACAGAGATAGAAGTAACGACAGTGACCGCGATCATGAGCGTGAAGAGCCGTGACCACCCCAAGCCGTCTGTGGGATTCAGCAGCGCCTCGCGGCGAGGACCAGGCTTTCCAGACTCACCTGCCAATACCAAACACCACCTTGACATCTGCGGTCTATGTTCCCTTGCAGTCTGACTTGTTTATTTTTTATAACCACTTAACAAGCTTAGGGTTTTTTATGATGTTTTAGAGGATTTCATCTTTTTTGCACACATACTTGCCACTTTCAAAACCAATTTCCTGACTACATGAAAGTGAACAAAAAATATGATGTGGTCAACGTTGTTCACTGGAGCAGGCGATAGCTGTGCAGAAAGGAGGGTCTTAACTAATTTAGATAGGGTTTTTTTTCCAGATATTTCAAATGAAATCTCTTACTGGAGTAATTTACAGATTTTTTTATTRTTTTTCAGATTATTCAGGTATATATATGGTATCACATAACAAAGTTTTTTATAACAGTAAAACATTTCCTAAAATTTGACAAAATATATTTCTTTGGATAAATTTTGTACTGGTCTATCTGTAACTCCTCCTGTTCTAAGGATCTCCTCTTCTCTGTGGGACAGACATAGTGTGGCAGTCTGTAGAGGAGAAGGAGTACAGAGAAATTTCTTCTGACTGAGCACTGTGTTTTAAAAAACTTTCGCACTTTGGTGCCAATGCTCAACTCGATAGACGCTTTGCAGTCTGCAACATTCCAGATAAGGAAAGAAGGAAGAACAAAGTATCCAAGTTTCCTTCTCTTCTTCCAACAAGAGATGATATAGGCAGCTTAAAACCTTAGTGCTTTTTTTTTTTCTTACTGTGTCCAAGCTTCAACACTTCCATTATTTGAATACATGTGTAGAATACTCGCTTTCTATTAAACCTCACTGTCTACATGTTAGAACTGACATTTCTGTTATTGAGGACGTATGTGTTTCAGATGCTTTGTCTAATGAATTAATGCAGGTTTGTAGGATACTGAGCAAAACTGAGTGATGGATTCCATTCATAAAGTAGTAAGGCAGTGATATCGTTTGGTGCAGACCACCATTGAGAAAACCTGTTACTGATGGATATTTTTATTTGGGGCGATTTTTTTTTTTTTTTTTTTTTTTTTTTTTTTTTTTTGCTGTTGACTCTGTGTATAGTTAAAATGCCAAATTAGATTTATAGCAGCTTGAAGTTCTATTAAGTGATATTCTGCTTTCTGTAATTCTGTTTATAAAATAAAGTTGTTTATTCTCTGCTACTTGACTTTTGGCACTCAGGCATAAATTTGAGAGATACTTAAGGTGAGCAAATCGGTTTGAGATAACGGCAGTTTTAGAGGCCACCAAACCTTGAAAAGTAGGGAATTGATACGAAGTAGATCTTCAGGTTTACCTGAAAGTTTCCGTGATCTGCCGGCTCCTGCTAGAGTGTCATGTGTTTCTCCCAGTGAACATCCTGGTTTCTGGGTCTCAAAAAAGAAATCTTTAGATGCCAAACCCACATGGGGCAATAGTCCACGTATGGAAGTGCCCCGTAGTCTGAGTTCTTTCAGTGAGGGTGCACTGTGACCTTCAAGTAACACCAAATCATAATAATCGTAATACTTCTCAATACACCTGTTTTTTTTAATCTCCTCTGCACGGTGTATTTRCTGTTGGTGCTGCTCCTGTTCTTGCTTGCTGCTCTGTGTCGACACGCCGGCTTAACTCTAATTCATGCTACATTTGGTTTCATGTAAGCTGAATAACATAAGTCAACAGTAACCAAAAAGTTAATTTATATACACATATAGATTTTCTTAATTAYATCCCAGTGCATATAGGTGTATGTAATTAAGACCTGAAAAACAGCAAGTAATTATTTATTATTCATCTGCTTTTCAAAAATAAATGCGTTCTCCCTTTCAAACGAAGGAGAAGAACCCAAGCAACTAATAACACGAGGGAAGAAGAATTACTGTGCGTGAATAGAGAGACTGGCAAGTAAGTAGCACATTATGTATAGGTAAGAGGAGGTCTAAATGGGGAGATAAGATTTTTAGCGAACATCTTCATGAATTTTTCATACAAAAGTATGTAAGAAAAGACTATAAAATCTTTGAGGTGTTTTTGATGTGGTATAATAGTTGCAGAATTGAGTTTGATCTTTGATTTGTTAGACACTAGATCGATATTGTTGTTTTTATTGCAATTGTATTTAACCCTTCAAAATGCAAATATAATATTCCTAAACTATTATTTTCACTGCGAGCCGTATTTCTTCAAATACTAACCTGAACCTTATGTCAGGAACAAGTGAGTGGTGCCTTCAGGCCAGCATAGTTAGTGTGTAGCTATCACTGCCATTAATTAAACACATACTAATTAAATCATCTCTGACATGTAGAAAAACTCTTATCTCCCAAGTGTGGCCAGTCCTAAAATTACTCTAGGCTTACCGATTCTGGTTGCAAATAAATACTCAAATATTCTAGAATACTGTGCAATTCTGATTATTTTATGCTTTTTATATCTGTAGCAAATAGAGTATTGCAACACCTACAGCAAAACAAATTGTGGTCAAGACACTTCATAAACTAGCCTTACAGTAATTAAGCAGTTTCAAATATAATTGCAATCTCTCTTAATGAAAATCTGGAAAAGGTATTTTAGTAATTAATTCTGCTTTAATTACTGCTGCAGAAAAGTGAGTCATGTGGATCCTTCATAAAAATACCTAATATATGGTGGGAGGATTTTAATAATAAAGTGTTGGGAATGTTCTGTGCATTGTTTCCTGGATTAAGGTTTAATAAAGGATAAGCAAGTAACTCGAGTGACAGATTGTTTCAGAACAACAACAGATCTATTGCCCAAAGCTATGAGCAACTGCAACATGAAGTGTTTCTTGAAATGTTCTATTATTGGAGAGCTCAAGCACAGTGACAACTTTCAGACTGTGATAGAAATCTGCAGGTGAAATGAAATATGAAGACAAGGATCAGAGTCTGAGATCTGATGTAGATCAGAATGATCCTTGCCTGTGCGCTTGGCCACGATCAGTGAAGAGTTCTTAGCTTTCAGGCGTGTTTACTGAGGAATGGGGGCTGCTTGCAGCAAAGGTTGACGTGACTGCACAACAAAGGAAAGTCTGAAGCAATTTTGATTTTCAGGATGCTCTGTTATTTGTCATGCACTGGGTTTTTACAAGCGCTGGGATTAATATTAATACTAAGTTACAGTGTGGCTGATGCTTGGAGTGCTCRTTCTGTTTGAAATGGTACAGGGGCTTTTGGAGGTAAGTTTGTCCCAGAGGCTGGACGGGGCCCGGCTGCGTGAGCGACTCTTCCAGAATCCTGTCTCTGACTGAGGTTGGTAGCAGGTGCCTGGACATCTGTGTAAGAGCCAACTACATTCTGGAGGACATTCTAGGTAGTAGTACTTTACCAGAAGAACTTCTTCTAACACTTACCGGTCCATTTCTAAGACTTGGTGGCCTTTTGTGTTTTTCTAGCCTGATAGTTTTTTGTTTTATGCTTGAATTTGCGTATTACTTTTTAAAAACTTCCTGTGGCATGCATTTTCAGCATTTCACCTATCACTTAGGGAGAAACAAAACAAACAAGCAAAAAAAACCCTCTTTGATTTATTTTGAACCTGCCTTCTGCTAGCTTCATCTCRTGTCTCCATTGTATGTAGTAGAAGGGATACCCAAAGAGGAAGGTTTGGAAGTTTATACTTTCCCCAGGCAGAAGCTAATCCAGAGTTGTGATCATTCTTGCTACCTTTATCTTTTGTACAGTAGATTGAGACATTGAAGTCTCTTCTGAGACATGGCAAGGAAGCAGTCACAGATAAGCAGGAAGAGGGACATGTTAAACATGATTGCTAGTTCTAAATAARTGGAGGGAGTAGTATACACTTTCCAGATGGGAGGAAGACAAAGATAAATTCTTTCCTTTCAGTCACTTTGTATATTTAGCATATATCTAGGAAATATTTTTACAGTTTATCAAGACAAATTATTTACTACTGATACATAATATGTATTTTTCTTAATCAAGAAACTTGTGTTAAGATAACCTTGGCTAAGGCAGCTTGAAAACTTTTTTTTTTTGACAATTTTCAGTAATGAGACTGTATGTTACTGAATCTGCATGCTAGATAACTCTTCATGTTAGCAATTACAGCTCAATAGGTAGTTGAGCCTAGGGCTGTGTTTTTTTCTATTTTAATTATGTCTTACCTAATATCTCTGTGCTGTATGGAATCCTTGTTGGTAGCTGTGGGACTGTTTTTCAATAAAATACTGTTACACAGTGATACTGCTTTTCAACATTTTATATCTTGATATTCTAAAACATTTTGTGTAATCAACAAAAGCAATTTTGTGCTGTAGTAAGACGTGCTGTATTTTCATTATGTGTGTATGTTTTCACATGGCCTTTTTTTGGGAGGCAGGGGATATTTGGAATTTTTTGGGAGTTCGACAGTGTTAATCCCTGAACAGTGTCTAAGATCCCTGTATTGGCAGCATGTTTCTTTAAACTAAATCAATTATGTTTTTCCTATAGGTAGCAGCTGTCTCAATGTGCCKGCAATGGATTATGCAGACTATATTTAATAAAAGAAAGAGCAAATTGTAGAAGATAAAGCAAGATGTTATTGAAAGGGTTCCATAATCACAAAAGTTTATGTGCTCAAGAAAGAAATCATTTAATTGACATGGCCCCAGAATGCATCTTTTTTGTTGTTGTTTTTTTTTGTTTGTTTGTTTTTGTTTGTTTGAAAAGCAAAAATTCCATGGATCCAAATAGTACGGAGGAAAATAAGGCATTTCTATGGATCCAGGAATCAGTTATCCTGCATATGACTTAGATCTTTACCAGCTATTTCCAAGGAATTGCAGGACACTCAAAATTAGTAAATGATTAAAAACAATGGTCAAAAAACCCTCACACATTCTGGAAGTGATTTCACCTTCTAGGGTCCATTATTCTGATCAAGCTGTGAGAGGCTACTATTCCAGCAGCACACAGTGCTAAAGAACCTCATTTTAATAGTATCCCAATAGGCAGGATGGTAATTTGTATTTTTGATATCCTTTTCTTGCAACAAAAAAAACCTTGCTCAGCTTCAGTTGGTAATTTTATGTCAGGAGTACTAAAACTGATCTATAAACAGGGCAGAGGAAGGACTTGAACACCATGACACTAGGCAGTGATATGATTCTCACTCGTTCAGAGACAGAAAGAAAAAAATAAGACCAACATATATGATGATAGCTGGAGAGCACAGGAATTTTCTAGCAGTCATCGCTTGTATAGTAAGATGTGRTCTCAACATGCCAGGGCAGTCTGTATGTATTCTGTGTTTTGTGTGGTGTTGAGAAGGGCGGGGACAAGCCTGATTGCAGCAGATCTGAGGAACACACCGTATGGAGAAGAAAAATTGCCCCTAGATGTGGACTGGTAAAGAGCTGAGTCCTGCCTGGAGGCAGGCAGGTCGGACTCCTTGCTCGTGCAGTTGGCTTTGTTGGCTTTTCAGGTGGTAGAGCTGGGGGCAGCAGTAGGTCGTTAGAAGCAAACTTGCGGATCTCCCCCCTGAGACATKGTATCTGGCCTTAGCTCTTGGATCTCCTCTGTTTGAGGTGTGTTTGRTCTTAAACCTTTCTCTCTCAACCTACAGGAACATTGTCACTGAAAAATAYCTTAACTGTGTAAGCAGGAGCAAAAACTTAATTTTATGTAAGCTCTCTCAGTTGTATATATTGTTTATATGATCAGTAATAAATGTAYGAGTAAAGAACTCTCTTAAAAGACTATACAGCCTGATCGCAATTTCATAAATATGTTCTTGACACTACCTAGTAGTTGTGTCTCGGTGTTCTCAATGTTCTTCAAAGCTATTTTATCTGGCTGACCTATGCTTGGTGACAGCATTGAAGGTAACAGCAGCTGCCTTCACAAATAGAGGAAACTGGGGCAACGTCACAAGCTTTTGAGTCTCTTCACCCCTATGTGCAGTTTGGGATACACTAGGCATAGGGGAAACAACTCCATTCAATGGGCTGTGTTGCACAAGGTCAGCCAGGTAGCATGAAGA